AGAAGAGGCAAAATTATTATGCTTACCACAACCAGTAATTTCTCTAAAAAGCTTCCATATGTTTTCTGAGGTTTTACAAGATAGTATTGTTTGATTATAAATGTTGTTTAGTCTCTTGATTTCAGATTTAATTTGGGCGTTTATCTTCTTAAGACCAGATGTCAATGGAGTTGAAGATTGAACGATCAATTCTTGGTTGTTCGCTCAAAATCAACTTCCCCAATTTTCGCGGAGGCATCAATACGACAGTCATCGTCTCATCGGTCGCTGTTCAGAAAGAAGAGTGAAACATCGTCAGAAGTAATACTATGATTTATTATTGTAATATTTGTTCACAGACCTTAGTTCAGTTATTATTTTTATATGTTGGTGTAACAATAAAGAAATCTCAAGCGGCCAATCGGTGTTTTGGTTTTTTCGTCCGTTATAACTAAGCGTTTCTGAAAACTTCAAGGAACAGCGTGGGCCCGAGCGTAGCAAGAGCTGGGAATTAACGGTTTATGAGACGTGATTGACACCAGATTTATTCTTTGTCTTGTACAGCTTCTCTTTTTCTCTACGAAGTTTTTTGAGATGAGGGGAAGCGAAACGATACATTCTTTTGAAAATTATCTGTTTTGGACAGCATATGTCAAGACAGAATTTAAGATAGTCAGTCAAATTGGAAATAGTATCATCCAGTTTGTGTTCGTTGAAAAGTTCCCAGTTAGTGTCATTAAGCATGCATCTTAGTTTGAGCATATTTTCTTGTGAGTAACACCTTTGCTGTGTTTTCTTGGACAGATTTGAGAAGAAAATAAAGTGAGATCTGCTGTATATCTTAGGTAATATCCGAATAATACAATGATCTGAGTTCATGATAGGAGCACGTCGGCGTACTTCATATATTTCCTCATCATTAATGAACACCAGGTCAAGGGTTGCATCAAGTCGAATAGGGAATTTAACAATATTGGCATGACCTAATGATACGAGGAAAGAACAATCACAGCAGTTAAAATCTCCCGTGACAACTGATGAAGAGTTTTCAAGATGTGTAACGGCGAATTCAGTGAATTCATCAGCAAAATCAGATAGATCAGATGCAGAACAGCCAGGAGTAACATAAATGTTAAAGATAAAGACGTGTTTAAACTTGGATAAGTGTTTCGGGCGGCATTTGACCGTTATACAATCAATAAAGTCATTAGAGTAAGAAAAACATACGTTATTTGAAGTTGACCATTGAGAATGAATGAAAGTTGCAACACCTCCACCTCTTTTCTTTCTGGAGCATAGTCGATCTTGTCTAAACAATGTAAAACCATTTAGGGAAACCAGATTGTCATCATAGAGTTCATGGAGCCATGTTTCTTGTAATGCAACAATCGCCGTATTGTAATAAGTATCAGATGATAAGAGAGACTGGAGATGCATAATTTTGTTGGGGAGTGAACGGCAGTTTGAAGTGACAATAACAGGAATGGTTGTACGATATAAAGGTGTCAGTTTAAGTGCACGCTGCCAGCCAGCGTGATGTTTTTTCTTAGATTTATTAGATGCATTATTAGTTGCATGTAAGTCATATGGTTTAAAACGTTTAATGAATGAATTACTGTATTTTATGAGATTTGCGATCATATTTTATTAAAATAAGGAATGAAAACATGACTTATTAGATGCAATATGTAGATGCAGGAAAAAGGTAGCCCAGATGTCAAACAGGCCGCCAAGAAGATTGAAGTAAATTGGTCCTTGGTTCTAGCTTGGATTGCGAAGGCAGGTTTAAGGTGATAACAAATAGCTTTTGGACACATAAGACAGGTTTAAGTCTTTTTATGACTAATGCTTCAATGAATTTAAGTATGCGGCCCAACCTTCTTTTATATATCGGCTTAAAGGCATTGTTGAAAACAACCTCGTGACCCGTCTCTATAATATGCTTCGCTATAGATGATGTTGGACATCTATTTCCGGGGTCAATTGTGTCTGGCTATTTCATTTGTTGTTGCAGCCACTTTGGAATGTGTTCTGTAGCCCTAGCCTGCAGAGACCGATGGGTCCTCCCTATGTACGTGTCTCCACGCACACACATGTAAATTGATAAACACAGTGGGATATTGCACTATCGTTCGGATGATGTGAAGGTTTACAGGACAGTATGGTTCTCGTCTTCTCCCTGAAGATAAGTTTATCTGCATAATAGGTTCTACTAATTGCGGCTTTGGGTCTTCGTCTAGCGACCAGACTTTGTTGATCACCTCTGAACAGCAAGGATATGTAAACATCTTTTTGTGAAACTGATTGGATTGGTAAAGCTCTGTGGTTGACACTTCCTAAACTTCTAATAAATTTCAGTGGGTATTTGTTACATAACAGTATTTCAGTGAGGTGTTGTTTTTCTTATTCAATTGTATCAGCAGTACATATTCGGTGAACGCGCCTGAACAAACATTTAACCAACGCCTTTTTATACTGTAGTGAACAGAAACTATGATAATTTAGATACTGTCTCATCCATGTTGACTTTCTGTAGACGGATCGTTTTACTGATCCATCTTCTCGGTGGGTTATGAGTACACCTAAAAATGGCAGGCAACCATTATTCTCTTTAACGTATGTTAGCGATATACTGTTTTGTGCTCTGCTTATCTGGTCCAAGATTTCTATGGTTTCTGTCGGTTTATCACAAATGACTATTATGTCATCTACATATCTTTTATAAAGATAAACTTTTCCAATGTCTTTCGCCACTAAATTCTCGACATGTGACACATATATATCAGCTAACAACGGACGGCAACCCCATCAATCTTGCAATGATGCTCGCCCTCGAATGTAAACTTAACATTGTTAGTACAAAGAAGTAGTAACTCTTTTAAGTAAGGTGTTGATACTGGTAAAAGGGATTCGTTGTCAGAGATGTAATGGCATAAAATGTCAACCGTCTGTAAAAGAGGTACATTTGCAAATCAAGATTCAACATCTAGGGAAAACATGGTTTTGTCCTATATATCAACGTTATCAAGATAATCAATTGACTCAAAAGTGTCTTTCAATGAGAACTCACAGAAGCTTTTTATAATAGGCTCTAATATTTCCACTATCCACTGTGCAAGTTTGTGGGTTGAAGATCCGCACATTGACATTATGAGACGCAAAGTAATGCTAAGTTTGTGTATTTTGGGTTGACAATAAATGTGTGATAATCGGGACTCTATGGGCTTTAATGAATTGAACTTAAGAGTTTTACTAGATGACCTGGATGGACTTATTTATCACGTTCTGTTAAAATTTCGCTTCGAAATTTCTTGTCAGTAATTTTTAATAAAACTGTGTTATATGTTATCTGGGTTGATGGATGTCAGCCACGTCTAGTAAACCGTCAATGCCCAGTTCTTACTACGCTCGGGCCCACGCTGTTCCTTGCAGTTTTCCAGAAACGCTTAGTAATGACGGACGAAAAAACCAAAAGACCGATTGGTGACTCGAGGATTCTTTATTGTTACACCAACATATAAAAATAATGTTTTTACTAGGGTCTGTGAACAAATATTACAATAATAAATCACAATATTACTTCTGATGGTTTACTGCTGACTTCTCTCTGAACAGCGACCGATGAGACGATGACTGTCGTATTGATGCCTCCGCGAAAATTGGGCAAGTTGATTTTGAGCAAGCAACCACGAATTGATCGTTCAATCTTCAACTACATTGACTCTCCCCGGCAAAATATGGATCCATCCCTTTTTTCCATCACGACCAATTCACGTTGACTTGGATACCATTGCGAGAACCTGGGTCACACGGATAGAGCTGAAATGGAAAACAAACAGAAAAGCCAACGCACCACAAGCATACTCACAGCACAATCTCACACATCGCTGACGACCTCCGTCTTCCAGTTAAAGGCATCCTCTTGACACATCCTCTTGCAACGCAGTCGCCACTTGCTAGAATGACTCTTGCAGAATGCAACGTGACCATAGCACCACCTCACGATACTCCACGCACATCTTCTTATCTACTCACTACCAATTACCACTGCAATCGCTTGTCACTCATTCTGCTTCAATTCTAGTAACGATGACGTGTGCGAGCCTCAGTTGTCTACATTCTTTCTCCCCGGGGTGTGGGACCACAGCTAACAATTATCTCCGTGTGCATTTCATTCTCAGGAATAGCCTCGCCAGCGTATACGACCCATCTGCTGTCCTTAACATCAATCAATTCATTCACGGATGTAGAAGAGTGGACACAACTTCAGAAGTAAGCACGACGAAAATTTTAACAAAATTATGTAATAACAACAAGGTACGAAAACAACAAGTAAACACAATGGATCCAACAAACACCAATTGATATGACACACCACACGTATATACAAACAGTACACACAAACTCGCGGATCATATCTTGATGGAATTCCTTTGAAGAATCGCAGGACTTACACCAGTACGCTTGCAACCCTTCTCAGGTTGACGATTGTAAGTGGTAGAATGTCCGGACACAAACAGAATTACTAACAGCTAAATGACAGATGATATCATTTCAGTATATACAATGTGAACATATGTACAAAATCACACACCAAGCACATTGGACTGCTCATTGATGCGCTACCCTTTGAGGAATTGTAGGACTTACACCAGTACGCCTACAACCCTTCTCAGGTTGACGCCCTAGGTTGGAAAATCGTTGCAGAGTTCATTTGCTGATTTCCTCCTATCAGCTATATCCTCAAATCTGAACGGTAACACGCTCATGTCATTGTATCGTAGAATATAGATGACGAACAAACACACGACGTATCTGACCAATTAAGCGTAGAAACAGATAAACTTACACCAAAGATAATAGCATTCAAATAGTAACTTGAAACTAGAAATGCCTTTATTCGTGCAAGTCAATTTAACAATTACTCACTCGTTTACACTTGGCTTATCCTTACTAAACTGAGCAATATCTTTCGTCATTTCAAACGCACCAATACTCTCAGAGTCATTGCACAAGATAGTTTAGTTGATGGGCGTCTGTTTCATTGTGGTTGACAGCACCAACGACGACTGATTGATACCAGTTGATGAAGTTAGCGGTGGATCAGAAGCTGTTCTTGTTCGGCTTTCAGAAATGTGTCTACCTGCAAGACCACCATCACTGCTGTATTTTACTATCAGCTCAGGTTTAGCACTAGCATCTGATGATAGGTGGGCTACACGCTGATCATTTACACTGATGGTCTCACAAACACCCATAACTTCTACCACTGCATCTGCTCTTAAATCTACTTCACCTCCAAGTTGTACAGAACCTTTGTTCAACTTAGCAGTAGTAGGCATTCCCCTCCATTTCATCATGATCAACCAAAGACAGATCTTCACTATCATGATCATTATCACAAATATTCAATTTACCGTCAAGTTCATCATTTTCAAACTCTTTAATAACAGAAGTAGACAATTTTGGCTTCTCCTCACAAATCATTAAAGGTTTTATATCTTCACTCTGACTAGTTATACTTTGTAAACTTGTGGAGTCAGAACTACCCTCTGAAACTGTAACTCTATTCTGTGACACTCTATTCAACAATGGCTTACCACTTGCAACTACAGACTTCTTCACCGCACCGTTACCGTCACACAATTCGGAGTCAGGCCTGGAGTTTACATTTAGCTTATCACTGAACTTGCTCACTGGTTCACAGTTCACTTCTGTATGCATCTCTTGCACACGTGTAAAACACAACCGTGTTTCTCTTGCATCTTGCAACTTATCTGTTGAGGATGTACCACGAAACCTGTTACACTCATTAGGTCTATATGCATTACTATACATCATGGAGCCTTCTCGATATTCACCTCTCTGAGGCCTATTCGTCATCAATGATTGCGTTTCGCCCTCAGACTGCTCTATTCTAGGGGTGAGATTCAATATACTGGCAAACTTGCTCATCGATTGATTGACACTATCCTTTACTAGTTTCAGGATATCATCAAATTTTGGATCGATATCCTCTTCCTCCATACGGGAGCTTATCTTCACCCACTTCCTTTGCAGTCGAGTAGGTAGGCGTCTTGCTATTACTTCTAGTATAAAACTCGAGTTGAGGTCGCTCATGCAACTCATCGAAATCAAGGTATTCTTATAAGTCATAAGATTATCTAAAAACTCAGTAAGTGCCTGGGAGTCATCTTGAAGCTGACTGCCGTTACCTTTAACAGCTTCGTATACGTTCCTTACAATCATCGAAGGTCTTCCAAACCTTTGACGTAATATGCTCATAGCCTCAGCGTATCCCTCATTAGGGTGCATGAGCTCACAGCACTGTATAGCTCTTGCAGCACCTCCAGTGCATTACCTCGTTAAGTACATTAACTTCAATTCATCACTTAATAAAAAACCACTCAGCATGATCTCAAACTCCTTTACAAATTGTAAATAATCAGCCGGGTTTCCATCGAAATACCGTGGTTCAAATCTGGGGAGTTTGATGTTCTATTATCCCTGGACAGTGAAACAGTAACATCAACCATGTCATGCTTAACATCAGACACATCGTTTTAAGTACCAGACAAGTCACCATGACTTACTTTCCTGTTTGCATCCAAGACGCTCTGTCCCTTCTTTGACCCAGGCGCTGTTGAACTTGAACCAATTCCAAAATGTTCCAGATATTGCTTGTTCAAAGAGGACTTGACCGGCACTAGGAAAGATGAACAGTGACTATCGAAAGTCGTGCCAACTGTCCAAAACCGTTTAAAACTGACTTCACCATCAGAAACTGTCAGCCACGTCTCGTAAACCGTCAATGCCCAGTTCTTACTACGCTCGGGCCCACGCTGTTCCTTGCAGTTTTCCAGAAACGCTTAGTAATGACGGACGAAAAAACCAAAAGACCGATTGGTGACTCGAGGATTCTTTATTGTTACACCAACATATAAAAATAATGTTTTTACTAGGGTCTGTGAACAAATATTACAATAATAAATCACAATATTACTTCTGATGGTTTACTGCTGACTTCTCTCTGAACAGCGACCGATGAGACGATGACTGTCGTATTGATGCCTCCGCGAAAATTGGGCAAGTTGATTTTGAGCAAGCAACCACGAATTGATCGTTCAATCTTCAACTAGATTGACAATGGAATTTCCCATTTTCTGGCTAGTTATGTTGGTGTCCGCGTCATGTGATCTGACTGCGACACTCCTAGCATATTTTTTGCAGCTATTAGTGTTTTAGGCCGACCGTATCAAAATATCGGTGTAATGAGGAAGATAGGATATTTGGAGGGTAATGCCATTTACACAAATCGTTTACTCCCTGTAGAAGCTGCACCTTTGGGCATAGTGTCATTCAATGTACACTTCATGTCTCAGGATATCAATACAGCCTATTTTCGTGTGAAGAACAGTTTTTTGACAAAATAATTCTCTCATTGCTTGGAAATCACCTGTAAATGCTGTCAGAATCGTCTTTGGGAACCTAAGCTATCATTTAGATATGCTTTTCACTCTATCTGTGGTTGGACAGGAATTGTGGTAAGTTGAAATGTTATTTCTAAGTGAATTTCATATATATTGGCACTGATTGGTGCTGTGTACTATGGTTTGTGTGAATTTAATGTACAAAAATATCTCAACTGTAATAATATTGTGCCATTGTCTACTTAGCTTACTGATAGGATAACAAACGTGGGTGGTTGTCACGATTATTGCAGGTATAGTGCAGTGGAGAAGGCAGTTACTTGTTTAAATTTCCTTGCTGTTCCACTTAATGCATTAATTCATTACACGGTATGATTATGCGCATGAATCGTGGTGATTATGAGAAGTGAATCTATTCAGCTGTATTATCATTATTATGAATCTATTGTCTGTCATACAATTTCCACTGACAGTGTACACTTAATACTGCAATATTTTTTATCACCAATAGTGGAGATGAATTTCCCCTGAGATTTTCATTTACACAAAGCAGTACAGATGCGGTATCAGGAACGGATTTTCTAGGTTGCATTATATAACATTACTATCCTCATCAATACAACAGGTCTGTGTATTTTACAATAGTTGAAGTGTTTCTCTATGTTGTTAACACTGTGTATAGCTGTCTAGAGTTGAGGCATGTCCAACTTATATTTGATGGCTATAGTCTCCTAAATGTGGGAGTGTAATTTCTATAGGATTCACAAAACCTTGTGGACTAGACATTACTGAGATTGTGGATTAATTTCTAAGTTACACATTTGCAATACTTCATTTCTTGTTAAAGTGTTTAGTGTGAAGTTCATCTGCATGTAAGCTTGATGAGAGGATGACGCCACAATAGTATGGATGTTTCGGAAATTGTCTTGAAATTCGCGCATAATCCTCTAATACCGACAATCATATGATGTCTATTTGTGTATACGGCGTCAATATAAAAATCAGCTGCAGACTACAAGTACATTTATCTGTATGAGATATTACTTATCATTGACAGAATCATTGTATTCATAGTTTATGCTAATATGTAGAATTACCTCTTGTAACTTCATGTTGTGCCAGTTCTTTCAGGCATACAGAGGCTGTCGAATATGAAATCAGCGGAAACATCATTCGGTCAAACTAACGTTAACACTTTTCATCAGAATTTTCTTTTGTAAATTAATGAAATGTTTAATATACTCTTGATTCATACATCCTCTAGACTTTTTCAGTTCGTTGCTATACCATGTGCTTTTGCAATAAGTGAATTCGGAATAATGAACGCTAAGCTTAGTTAGTGGGATGGAGATTTACCATAGTATTATGAGACTGTTACTTTAGTCATTAAAAGGATTTCGTGTCTGTTTCTACACAATAGCACATTGTAAAAGTTAAGTGGGATTTAGCAAGTTGAATAATAATTCTGTACTGTTTGATACTCTAAAGTCGCCTCATCCAGCCAGTTGCAAGTCTGTATACTGTTAAACTCCAAGTATGTAGTACAAGTAAATGTTGTAACATAGGCTTGATAGCTACTTCACTAATCTGTTAATGTGCAGTGGCATCATCAAATAGACAGTTCACTTGACAATGAGCTAAGAAACAGTTTTTATTTGTTTCTAATATGCCGTTGAATCATAGGATGTTATCTTATATCCATCATTTCTATGATCAACAACTGCGGTATTTGCATATCTACTTTATGGATATTAAATAACTTACGCCTTTATGCATCTATTTACCTCCAGTATTTCCAATTCATTTGATGTGTGTACACTAAACAAGTGTTTCATAAATTCTCCCGCAAATGCCAAGGTTTCTGGTGTCACAAGTGTTAATAATAGTTGCTTCCTTGTTCTCAATGCAAATGACGTATATACGAACTAGAGAAAAGTTACTCTTACTTAAACTTCAACCTTCGCTTAAAGCATCTAAAGATCCCAAACAATTCTCCTAAAAACACAATAGAAGCACTGTAGATGCAGCTGCAGTCTTGCATCACAACATTGTCTCCAGTTTAGGCAATGGAGCTAAATTCGCTGCACCTTCCCAGATTACACATCTGATTTCGACTCAGTACCTAGAGATATTCTGTTAGATAAGCTTGCTGAAACTCAAACTGAGTGTTGGATTGTTAGATGGCTTCATTCTTATTTATCAGGGAGAAAGCAAAACACTGTAGGTCAGGGGAAAGTCGTCCATTACCAATTGCAACGGTGATATAGAAATCAAGTCTGACTTTAAGTATCTCGGACTAATTCATCACAGCGTATTGGCCCTAAATGTATGCCACATCCAGGCATAATGTTTAAGAGCTAGGTATGCAAATCAAGGTAAACGCTTGTACGGTACATTCATTATTTATAAAACTGACTCGTATGCAAGAACTAAGGTTTGATCAGTTATACAACATTTAATACATTTAGACACAATTAACCTACGCTGCTTACTTCTATGACGCATTACCCAAAGCTACCTTAATGTAGTTTCCGCTGAAGGTAGTCTCCTATAGCTACCACCTTAGTGGGCAACTTAACGTTATCTTTGAATAACAAAGTGAGAGCGGGAATTCTGAGAACTTTCTTGGTGAAAAGATCGTCTCCTACTCCAAATATTAAATATACCGTAGTCTCCACAAAACCGTTCAGAGGTATCCACCCTATCACCTCAAACGATTCACTATTTGCAGTCATTTAAAAAGTAAAAATTAATTTGCCGACGTCAGCGTGCTTATGATTTCTAGATATCATAATGTACCATGAGGAAAACGCTATATCCATGCGGTTATAACAGTCAGATGCGCGAAATTAGTCAGAAACACAACAACCACGATTCTCAGTCACAGAACATCCTACTTTGCTACCTAATCGTATAATCGTATCAACGGATGTTTCGCCAAAGAAAAGAAGACTACTGGTTCAAGGAAAATTTATTTAGAGATTTTTTAAAGATCATGGACATCCGCGTTTATAGTCACGGAAAAATCACAATTTCCAGGAAACCACCGATCGTAGATTACAACCCGAAACGTTATTCTTTTTAATCAATGTCTTACCTTTAACTGGGATAGTTCGTACACTCACCAAATCATCGTATTTTATCCGCTTTGAAAACCGTTTTGCAACACATCGAATGGATGTTAACACTGGCTCTATTACAGGCAGTCCTAGTTCACGTATTTGGTTCTAGTACATTAAGCAATCATAAGCATAAGCAACACTTACCCTTAAGGGTTCCAGTTTCTTTTAGTTCCCAAAATTACACACAAGCACAACAGATTCATACTTTTTACGTGGCTCAACTTTGTTTGACTTAGATTCTCTCACAATATATGTTTTTTAATGATAGCAGACACACTGATGTTATATTCACATTCTCAAAAAGCTTCAAAGCTTTTTCAACTTCAACCCAGGTTTTATATTCTCCAGGATTATGTTCTTTGAAAACCTTGCCAATATCGACTTTGATCGTGCTCTCCTCACCAGATTTACTGGTAGACTGTTGCATGCTGTGGACATGAAATTGAAAGACATTAGTTTTCCAGATTTCTACATG